CTTTTGCCTAATTATGAAGCAGTGATTCAAAACAAAAGCCCTCTCTGGAACTTTGCGTTTCATTTTGTTACAGAAAGGTAGAGTTTCTTACACAACAAAGTGTTGGATCTGTTTCCATTCTGCAACCTATCAGAAACCAGTTTAAAGCTGATATCCAGTAGTTTTATTAATGTAGAGCCAGAAAATTGCTGGCTTAGTTCTTGAAATGATCCCATATAAAGGAAGCAGGCAGGCCCAGCCTGATCTGAGACAGTGTGAATACATATAAGGTAAACTCAAGCTTTGGATGGCCATTTTATCATGTACATGCATCATTTACTGCTTGTAAATGAACATCTCATTGTCATAACTTTTAACTGGACAAAATGGCCCATTGTTGGGCAACACTTTTTAAACCAAGGTCCAATAAGCTAATTTACAGAATGTGTCCAAAATCCGGAACCCATGACTCCCAAGGGAATGAAATTTGGCAAAATTGTAGATGCTTCAGTGCTGCTGGCTGCTCCACTGCTACTATGGTCATATTTTATTTTCTTTATTTTATCATCTTTATTTTCAACATCCAGTCTCAAAATCCCTCATGCTCTCAACCCACATAGCAATGGCCATTTACCTTCTGATGTGTGGATGAGAGCACACAGGGAATGGAAGGTTCCTGGTGCTCCTTGGCAAATTCCCACAAGGAAACTCAATGTGGAAACTGGCAAGAAGTTACAAATTGCTCTTAACAGAATAACAGAGTTGGAAGGGATCTTGGAGGTTTTCCAATCCAAACCCCAGCTCAAGGAGACTATTTTAGACAAATGGCTGTCTAGTCTCTTCCTAAAAGCCTCCAAAGTTGGAGCACTCACAATTTCTGAAGGCAAACTGTTCCACTGATTGATTGTTCTTATTCTCAAGAAATTTCTTAGTTCTAGGTTGCTTCTGTCTTTGTTCACCCATCACTTCTTGTCTTGCTTTCTGGTGCTTTGAAAAACAGATTGGCCCCCTCTTCTTTGTGGCAGCCCCTCAAATATGAACCCCAGGATTGATTCCATGAATGGATCAGTATGAAGAATCAGCAAAGATGGAAGGTGAGACAAAAGGGGCTGGGGGGAGACGCTCCGGAAGCCCCCTGCTATCATGTCACCCCTAGTTCTTCTTTTCACTAGATTCCAATTCCTGCAACTGTTCTTTGTATGTTTTATCCTTTAAAAACCTTCCTCCACCCAATCATCTTTGTTGCTCTGCTCTCTTTCTAGAGTCTCAACATCTTTTTTATACTGTAGTGACCAAAATTGATGCAGCCTGAAAGAAGGCATGAGTATTCCAATGATCCATTAAGAGATACTTTACATGCACATTCCAAAGGATTTGATTGGCCCTCATTTTCATTACTACTAAAAACTCAATTGCTCAGTCCTGAGCAGGCTAATTCACAAACTGCTTGCAATTCTGTCATTTCTGAGAAACAAACTACATCCCAATCATGTCCTTAATCCACAGCCTTATTTTGCTCATCTCCTCCTAAAATAGACTGGCTATGAAGACATGTAAGAGCCAGTTGTTTGCCCACTTTAAACAAAAGCATTAAATTGTTGGGCATATGCATTAAATAAATTGAAATGCAAGTAGAATTTTTGGGTATCCAGATTGGAATTATTAGCAGTACAACAGTGTCGTGCATGCTTTTAATCCATACATGGCACATTTATCTCACCTCTGTACCCAAACCCAGGCAAATGTACTGCAAATAATTGTTTAATTACATGAAGACTGTAATAAGCTGTAAGCACCTGTGCTGTCATATGCTGGGATGGCTGTTATTTTTCCTCATCACTCCCCTTTCCATTACAAGGTGTTAGCAGACATCCTTTAAACATTTAATAAAACCCTTCAAAAAACTGTCAATATTTGCAAACAAACTATAACAAAACTTACAGTCACTGGCTTTTGTAAAAAAAGGCCATAAGGCATCTTGATAATGATACATTACTGTGTTGTATGGACTTGGGAAAATAACCCCCAAACTAGCTGGAATTTGGGAGGACACATTCACCCCAAAAGAAGTTGTGGGAGATGATTGTGGGCACAACATTTTTCCCTAGACTCGGGTAACCTTTTGTTAAGTAGGATCTCACACCACCACTCTTTGTAATGCTTTGCAATAGCATCATACCACAAAGCTTGAACATCCATGCACAATCACATTCTGGTCTAAATGTCACCCTGCCATACTGTGTCCCAAGTATGTAAATTGTGGTATTTGCATAACAATGTAGTTGTGCATTTTGTTACCATTCCTCTGCTGAAACTTTCAAACAAAATTCAAGACACTCATTACGATGGATAAAGCTTTACTAGCTTGGGACCAAACTCTTTCCAAGACTGTCTATGCCTGGAAAGTCCCTCCCATGTTGCTAAACCTTAGTGAATTATCTTTGTTTTGAGCCTTTCCTCTCCTTGTTACATTTTAAGAGGAAGCTCAGAACATTTGTAATGCCTTTACATGTTTGGAGTTTTGATTATATTTATATTCAGGGGTGGGTTTCTGCCGGTTCTGTCCACTTCTGCAGAACCGGTATCTCTGAAGAGCAGCAGACATAGAACCGGTTCTATGTCTGCTGATGTTTTTGCCTTCCCACCCACCCGGACTCTTACCTGATCTTTATTTCCTGAGTTTTCAACTTCAGCTGCTGAAGGAGGCACAGCTGCAGTTAAAAAAAGCAAGAAAAGAGGGCTGCTTCAAAGGCTGCTTCTCCCCACACAGCTAATGACGATTTACAGGTGCTGCAGCTTGTAAATCCCGAACTGGTAGTTAACCCTGTTGTATCCCACCCCTGTTCATATTGGGTATAAATATTTGTAAACTACATAAAGAAAAAAAAAGAGAACGTACGTACATTTTAAGATTTTTTAAAAAATACAATAGAAGTTTCTTTAGTGAACTGGATACAGTCATGTAGTGAAAATGAAGGTTTGGATGCATCATGTGAAAAAATTATCAGAGATTTATTCTCATATCAACAGAAATGCATCAGTAGATAGTCGAAATAAACAAACAAAATATAATCCTACACAGAATTGCTTAAATCGTCCAAACATTCACAATGCAGAAAGAGAGATTATTCTCGGGATGCACCTTTGGCATGTTCCATGTAACAAGATCCATTTTACAGTGTAAACAGTGTGTGTTCTTACTTTACAAAGTCCAGATGGAAAGGCACAACTTGGCAAAAACTGATCCTAAGCAAATTATAATAATTAAAAAAATATATAACTGGAGACATACACACATACAATAGTTCAGGTGCAACCACATTGGTTTTTCTTTTAAAAATATTATTATACATCCACTTTTTTTCATAAACCTTCTGCATGAGCGAAGCTGGACTCTGAAGTTGGAAAAAGCCACATTTGCATTCAAGTCCTCTTAATACCAAATCTTTGTTCAGTTTTCCAATGCAGCTAATACACAGGCAGATCCTGCTGATGAAAAGAGAAGGGAAGTGGGAAGACTAAACACAACTCCCACATCCACTCCATGAAATACACTTCTAAACATCTTCAACTATCTCTACAAGCATATCTTATTTTGGTTTGAAATAGTGCAGTTTCTGTTTGGATCTCAAGTTTGACACAGTGGTTATTGTCTAGAAAAATAGAACTTAACACTACCATAAACAAATTAATAATAAAAATAATAATGAGGTAGATAACTTAGAATCCAGAAGACCATTCCAGTAACCTTCATACAGTACAAATGCCACATTGGGATTTTATTCCAGGCTTTCTCCCCTAAGAACTACAAATAGATAAAAGTCCAAAGAAAATGTAGGGCTGCCCAAAGTCTGGAAAAATAGAAATGATTCAGTCTTCCTGTATGAGAAGTCGAAACTCACACAGGTATAGGTCTTTGCTGGATTGCAGCCCTGAATTGCTAAAGTGGAAATGTCTCTCTCACACACAAAGACAGATGGAAACACCTACTTCATTTTAAATATAGATTTAGGCAGACTCCCTTCCATAAAGTGGAGGTGAGGGACAGTGGCTGAGAAAGAGCAAACTTGTGGAGGAAGATTTCCATTCAATAAGTAATCTGCTTTCAAAGTCATCACCTGAGAATCTGAACACAAAGGGCAGAAACAGCAAAAACTCAGTCTTGCTAGGATTTGATTTCCCTTCAACCGTATGCCTCCGTCTGCATATTTGGGATGGTAGGAGGAAAGCAAGACACAGCCACGAAGAGTCAGCTTTTTGGCACTGTAGGTGGTGCATGTACAATTGTAGTCTTTAAATAAGCAGCAGTAATCAGATACAGAGCATTTAAGGTGTACAATGGCCAACATTATGCCTGTTTAAACATTCAGTTTTGTTTTTTTTTAAACAGGGTTCTGTGTGTATATCAGATCCTCATGTCCAACAGGCATCGTAACACTATTACATTCAAAACCGCATCAAATGAAAAAACAAACAAACGAAAAAGGGAACCCCTCTAAAGGATGGCATTCTAGGATATTTACCCGCATAATTACTTTCCACCTTATCAGTCACGAATTCCATGAGTGCCATTTCCCCTCCTCGCTCCAAATATCAAAGGGAGATTTGCACTATTCTGCTCAGATCCCTTAAATGGTTTCTACTTAAGCCATCTCAACAAAAACAAATAAGCAAAAAAAAAAAAATAGAGGTAAATGTTATAACCTTTGGAATTTCACATTGTAAAACATCGAAGGTTTTTACAGGTTTATGTTTCCCACGTAAGAAGAATCTTGCAAGACCCGCATAGAAAAAGGAGGATCCTAAACTGGCTTCACTTTTGTTTTGCGCAAAACATGGGCATGATTGTACTCTGGGCAACTCTTCCATAGACAGCCATAGAATCATTTGCACGTCAATAAGAAAATAAGGATACTTGAGGTGTCATCTCTTAAAAATATATAGATATATATATATAGATATATTCCATTAGTGATTTTTTTAAAAAAATCCATCCTGCCACCTTTCAAGCTTTCTGGTTTTTAATTAACAGCAATTTTGTTCTCTTCTATGAAGTGAGGGAATTGGTGTTTTGGCACATTGTCTTCAGCGGTGCTGTTTGGCTTCTCCATCTCTGAGCCAATCACAGCCTGGGAACTATCCGCCTTGGAAACGGTGGCAGAATTCATTGCTACATTGATTGCTGGACTTCCTCCTACGGTGTTTGGAAGAGAACGGATGCCCCCACTTTGGATCACAGAGATCTCATTGGTTTTCATGGCTAAGCCATTACTGAGCACTGCAGCGTACTGGTTCCATGCTGATGGATCAAGGCTCACCGAAGGGGTCACTGCATCTTTAGGGAACATTTCTGATACCTTCTTTGAATCATTGCCAAGCAAAGCCATTGGGTTATCAATGGACAGTCTTCTTCCACGTCTGGCAGAATTGTTCCACATGTGAGTCCCAACATGGACCTTATGGAAAAGAATGTCAACATTAGACTTCTGTGGGTAGAAATCTGGGCAAAACTGGAAGAACTAAACACTACAATGAATGGATATGCAAGATTCAAATCCCTGTTCAGGGACAACAGCTACCACGACATCTTGAGTAAAAACCCCTCTCTCAATTTCTACCATTCCAGAGTTTTATTCTAGAGAAAAGTGTTTCTGTTAAGCAACTAATGGCCCTGAGGTTGGTTTGAAGGTTCTTCTGCAATTCAGACCTCTGGTGATAGCGAACTGCCTCTTACATAATTGAAAGAGAGAGAAAAGAAGTATACCCACCTACTTCTGCCTCTGTTTGGCCTCAATCCCTTGGTAGCTTGTAGCCCTATTATCACATACTTCTTATCCATTATCCAAGGATGTGTAACAAGTAATCTCCATGGGGGAAAAAGTTGCCCATTCCTGACATGTAACTTGTCCCATATTCCCTTTAATTGCAGGTATGTAATTAAAGAGAAAGGAGCGCTGGCCATGAGTCCATCATAAGGAAGATGCCTATGGAGATTTTCAGTCATACAGCTCATAGTTGTCCCAAAGGTGCTTTTTCAAGAGGCAACTGGACTTTCTGGTTTTTCTTTGAAGACAGTTTTGCTTCTCATCCAAGAAGAGCTGAAGAGGTTTCTTGGATGGGAAGCGAAACGTCTTCAAAGAGAAACCAGAAAACCAGAACCAGATGCCTCTTGAAAAAAGCATCTTTGGGATCACAAGGAAGAGAAACAAGAGATGAGAACATCTCACGAATATGGGATATCGTCCCGTAACATCTACAACAACCAAACCGTCTTGGTCTAAATTAGGGGTGTAAAACTAGATTTCTTGGAGGGTTGGATCAGCACTGTAGTTCTTCTCCACAGGCTGGCTGTTGGGGGAAGATGCGATGGACGTCTCCTGCAGCACCCTACCGGCCAAAACCAGGGGGGGGCTCATGTGCCTCTCCATGCCCCATTTTGATCGGCAGAGTACTGCAAGAGGCCGTTCAGGCAGAAAATGGGATGTGTGGAGGCCATGCAAGCCCCCACCCAGTGCCCCATTTTGGCTGCTAGAGGCACCATAGGGTGGTCCTTTTCTATTTCCAGGCTGACCCCACTGGCCAGATTTAAGCATCCCTTGGGCTGGATCCAGCCCACAGGCCTTGAGTTTGACACCCCTGCTCTAAATCCTAAGGCCAATGGTGAAGGAGGAGCTGAACACACATATTGTTTGCCTTCAAATTGCTCACCTTGAGATTCCCCTTTGTGGTGAAAGCTCTTCCACAGATGGTGCACGCAAATGGCTTTTCCCCTGTGTGTGTTCGCTCGTGGATCTGAAGAGCACTTGCCGAAGAGAAGTTCTTACCACACGTAGTGCAGATATGCTGCTTAGCTGTACGGCGATGGGGTGGCACCAGAAGGGGAGGCACACTGGGGGATAATGCAGGAGGGGCAATAAAATGGCTGGTGCTAATGGGTCGATCGCTAGACATCTCCATTTTTATGAGAGCTGGTGGTGCTCTGATAAACGATGGGTGGATACTGCTACGGCCTGAAGAACAAAAAAGATAAAAAGGCATGTTGATGTATTGCTTATATGGCAAAGTTTCCTAAAAGTTCTCCAAGCCCAATTTTATTATTCAAAGCAAATAATTGGGTGAATATGAACAAGTCATACTGAGAATAGAAAAGATCTGATGGAGATGAATTTGTGGGGTGAAGACTTCAGGTGTATATAGATAAACCTGGATGCATGACCACAACTGGAACCAGAACTTCAATCGCTAAGCCATGTGGTTGTTCAATGAATCACACCCAGTTTACCACCTGTTTTTAAACAAATCACATGGTTATTAAGTGAATCTTGCTTCCTCCATTGACTTTGCTTGTCAAAAGTCCCTGGGAAAGTTGCAAATGGCCAAGGCGAGATCCCAGGATGATGCAAATATATGCCAATTGCCAAATACTCAAAGAGTTTGATCAGATGCAAAAGTGCAAAGGCTCATCATAAGTCCCTTTTTTCAAGGTCATCGTAACTTTGAACAGTTGTTAAATGAATGGTTGTAAGTTGAGGACTCCCTGTATAATTTGACAGTTCAGGATATGCACTTATCCTAGCAAAGCCCTTTGGTGGAACAGGTTGTTGATAAGATATCAGATCCTGAAAGGCTGGCATCTCTTCTCCTTTCCCCAAGGACATCCAGACATTCCACTACTCTCATCCCTAAGTCACCTCAATGCACTTTAGATGGGGCTTCCCTTGAAAACCACTCAAGAGCCTCAATTGGCTCATAACAGAGAAGCACAAGGTGGTGATGGGCATGCCCGTCTGATATCTTTGCTAAAAAAGGAAAAACTATTTTGTTTTGGCTACAAAACCCCATCTATCTCTCCCTTACCCCTCAGCTTCAGTGTGGCATAGTTTTTCCTGGGAACCAAGGACATTCCAACACAGGTGGCTGAAGAGAGGAGGAGTGATGTTACCTAGCAACTGGCTAGCACCTATATTGGACAATGTGACTTATTGTTTGGGGAAAAGGGAACCTTTTCACTTTTTAATTAGGTGAAAACCGTGGGGACTCTCAGAGTTGGCTTTCACCAGTCTGTGCCAATATGATCTCTCCAAATATGGCCTCAAGTCAGGCCAGCTTCAGAGCTGACAGTCTATGTGGCATAGGAACAGGTTACAGGTAGTCCTCAGCTTATGACCACAACTGAGCCCCAAATTTCTGTTGTTAAGTGAGACATTTGTTTAAGTGAGTTTTACCCCATTTTACGAACGTTCTTGCCACAGTTGTTAAAGTGAATCACTGCAGTTGATAAATCAGGAACACACTTGTTGAGTGAATCTGGCTTCCCCGTCGACTTTGCTTCTTGTCAAAAGGTTGCCAAAGGGGATCACATGACCTTGGGACCCAGCAACGGTCATAAGTATGAACCAATTGCCAAGCATCTGAATTTTGATCACATGATCAGGGGGATGGCTACAAAGGTTGCAATTGCGAAAAATGGTCATGTGTCACTTTTTTCAGTGGCGTAACTTTGAACGGTCACTAAATGAACTGTGGACTACTTGTACTTGAGGGGTTGCCTCTCTCCCATGGATTCTAGCCAGTTGGCATATGTCACCAGAATTGGCATACTGTGGGTTGGCTTTCAATTAAATAATGTCATCTATCAGAACTCAAGAAGCCTTTTCGGAAGGAGATCTCCCCACTCCTGAAATTCATGTGGCTCCCACCTTCTCAAGTGTTCCATAAAGCCCCGAAGACTGGGCTCTTCTCCCGGACCTTGGGTGAAGACAGATGGAGTCCCAGGTTTGTTATTTCTGTGTCTATTTGCATATTTTGCCTTGGTGTCGTCTTGTCTGGGTGTCGTATTCATTTTTATTTTACTTTGTGAGTCAACAGGAGTTGGCCAGTGTCCAAGCTGAATTAAAGACACTGTGCTAAAGGACATAGCATGCTGGCAGGTTTGCCCTTCCATTTTATTCCAGTTAAGTATTTATTTATTTATCAAGTTTATACAGCTGTTCCATCTCACCAAAGCTGACTCTGGGCAATACGCAACAATAAAACAGCCAATATAAAAACAGATGAAGATGTAAAAAGTCACAGTAATAAGCATAAAGGCAAAAATATCATTTAACCATAGGTCAAGAGTCTTCAAACTTGGTATGTTTAAGACTTGTGGACTTCAACTCCCCAGAATTCCTGAGCTAGGATGACTGGAGGAGGAATTCTGGGAGTTGAAGTCCACAAGTCTTAAAGCTGGGGAGGATAAAAATGCCTTCCTGGCACTAGAGCTATTGAGGCAAATCTCTAGTTTTCCTGGCAGCACAACCAGATCTTGAGGCTTTAAAAAAAAAATCAAAAGCAATGGGAGTAATCTAATTTAATCTAATTTTCCTTAAGGTGGGTGTCCCAGCAGAGAAGGTAGCTTTCCCAGAGACCCACCAAATATAGGCCATAACTGATGATACCCACAAATATCAATCATGCAGGTTTTTTAAAAGTTGAACAATGTTTCTGAATATACCACAATAGCCTGGTTTTTTTTTTCTAAACCCATTTTTCCTCCAAACCAAGAAAGCCATTAATTCACATTTCACACGGCTGGGTTCAGTACAGGACACTTAACTCAGTCATCTGAATGCTAGCCAGAACTTGGGCAAAGACTAGGGAGGCCCCAGCCAGCCAGCCAGCCAGCCAGCCAGCCATGAAGTTCCATGACCTCAGCATAATACATGGTAAACTAAATCTGCTCAATTTTACAACTATAAAAAGTAAAGGTAAAGGTTCCCCTACACATACGTGCTGGTCCTTTCTGACTCTAGGGGGCAGTGCTCACCTCCGTTTCGAAGCCGAAGAGGCACCGCTGTCCGAAGACGTCTTCATGGTCATGTGACTGGCATGACTAAATGCCGAAGGTGCATGGAATGCTGTTACCTCCTCACCAAAGTGGTCCCTATTTTTCTACTTCCATTTTTACCTGCTTTCGAACTGCTAGGTTGCCAGAAGCTGGGACAAGTAATGGGAGCTCACTCCATTACGCGGCACTAGGGATTCGTACCATTGAACTGCTGACCTTTGTGACTGACAAGCTCAGTTAACCACTGAGCCACTGCATCCCTATTTTACCTTTTACAACTATAATTTTGGCCAAATACTTTTTTCCCCTGACTGGAATTCTGAACCATTTCAGCAGTTCAAAAAAAGCTTGTGGAAGATGGGAGTGGGAAATGGGGTGGCAGGAGAAAGTAAACTGAGATAATAATCTGAATCAATGTGTTCATTTTTAAATTAGTGGATCTACTCTCATGCCCATTCCTCTCTCATGTTTCAACAGGCAATTAATTATTGGGTTCACACTAGAGGGTCTGGTTGGGTAACACTGGAGTGCCCCCAAGATTCAGTTCAATTGAAAAATCAAATGGGTTCAAAACTTCACTGCAAATTCATTTTCTGAACAGATCTGAATAATAATAATTGAACTTACTTGGAAACACCAAATTGAATCAGACCATTTGATCTGAGTCAATGATTTTTTCTCAGAAAAATCGGTTCTAATGGAAATTCTAACTTTGAATCAAATCTTAACACAACTCTAGTTCACACATCATGCTAAGTCACAATTTGCTTGATTATAGTTAGTTAAATACTTTTGACTAGATTCACTAACAATAAGTTATAAACCACATCTTACAATCCATAATAGTTAAGTTCGCACTTTGGTCTAAACCAAAACCAAACAAACCTCATCATGGCTTAACATGTTATATGAAGCCAGTCACTGTTTACACTTAAGAACATATGTTTTCCAGATATGAGTATAAGCTACCAAGAAAACTGTACAAGTTAAGGGAAAGAAGAATAGCTATATATCCTATTTTACACAGGATAATTTCTGTTGGCAGGGCTGTTATTTTTTATGTGAAGGGCTGCCTGCCAGCTAAGTCTAGCTGGAGAGAAGAGCAAGACTCCTGCAATTCACCATCAACATTTAGCAGCCAAATTCAACTGGTGAACAGATCAACAACTTCTTCAACCTGGCATGAAACATTAGAACATGGTGTATAAATTAGAGCCCATAAAGTTCTGCTTTTGCTCTTTTGGGGTGGGTGCATTTCCTTTTTTTGGTGATGCATAAAAGGCTCTCCTTCAGAAACAAGACAAGATTCCTACTTTGATTTATAATTCTGTGTCATTTAGTGCCAGAAGCCATCCTTCAACAGAATGTTTTTGTGTAATGTGATCACAGCTCCCATCACATCAAGAAAAAAATAGAGTTAAATCATTCAAAACAGCCAATATGATGCCAAGTTGAGTAGCAGTACTTTCCCATTTGCTCCAAAGCCATGAGTTTTATTTTAAGTGATTTTAAGTAATAGAAAACTAGAAATAAATAGTGTTCTTGCCTAGGGAACAAATTCACATTTACCTGTCATTCTTAAAGTTAATTCTGTATTATACTTTGTCTAGCAATGCTGACTTCAGATTTAATAATCATGGCAGAGAACACAAGGGAAGGAAGGGAACAATATAGCCATGCAAACAAGATAGCTACCCATTATGATTTCATCTCTTTGGTGAGAGCTATGGAATTGTTCCTAGCTTTCAAGAGCAATTGGCAGGTGTCATTTTTCACATTAAATATTCCTCAAATATTAGGTACTAGAGAAAAATATGGCCGATGGGGTCATGAATGGAACTCAGATTTATGAAGCAAAATTGGGAGCTTGGCTGTGCTAGCATAGACTACAAACATTTAACTCCACCCATGTATTAAAAAAGAGAATAGATTTCACAGTAACTGCTAGGGTTTTTGCTTCCCTTTAAAGTGACTCACCATATTCTCCATTTTGGAAGTATAATCCAGGTTCTTCCTTGATCACTTTTCGACCAATGTTGCCATAGGTTAGATCCAAAGCCCGTTCTCTCTCTGTAGGTGTGACTTCAGGGCCTTCGGACTTACTTCCCACTATTCCATCTTCTTGGATACTAAAACATGGTGACTTTGATCTGATGCTTTCTGCTTGACTGTTGGTTGGAGACATGGCCAGGAAGGAAGTTGATTCAGAGGTGATGGGGCTACGGCTACCGTTTTGATAGTCCAGATCACCTGCCACTGAGGAAGAATCATTGGTCATGCCGTCGCTCTCCACAGACCCATTATCACTCGACTTCAAACTGCTTTGTCGCTGCAAAGTCAAAGCCGAATTCACCATTTTCATATGGTCTTCTAGCACTGAAATACTGGAAGAAACAGATGTTGATGGATCAGCTTGGGCATTGCAAGATTTAGAAGAATGGTTTGGGCCATTGGGTGATTCCAAGTCTTCATCCATTTCCATGCTTTCATTGATCTCTAAGCAACAGGGATCTCCATTGTTCTCAGCAGAAGTAGCCTCCATGTCATTATTATCATGGGTGTTTTCCGCCACTGGGATATTGGGGATCTGCCCTCCCATATGCATACGAATGTGCTGCTGTAGCACCACTGCGTTTGTAAATTTCTTTTGGCAAATGGGACAGGAGTGCTGCATCTTCAAGGGAGTATTTGCCCGGTGCACACCGTAGTGTGTTTTGAGGTTACCTTTGGTGGAAAAAGCACGGCCGCAAATCTTGCACTTGAAGGGCCTCTCCCCCGTGTGAGTGCGGTAATGCATTTTGAGGGAACTCTGGCAACTGAGAACTCTATGGCAGATCAAGCACTCATTGGGGTCAGTGGTGGCTTTGTCAATGTTCTCTACCAGCTGCTGGAGCTTTGTTGTTTCAGAGCCTTGCTCACCAACCCGGCACCCGTGGAAAGTGTTCCCACTGCAGCCAGCCTGCGGAGAGCTCTGGTTCTGCTCAGCTCCCGATTCATGACTTGCTGGACCCGATGAAGAATCTCCTTCACTTTCTGGAGAAGGCCTAGGCTGGGCATCACTTAGAGGTGTGTTGGTAAAAGGATCCTTGCTACTTGTAGGGTTGGGAGTGTTTGGTGGTGGCAAGGCCGAGCCAACGGAGCCAGGCAAGGTGGTCGAAATAGGTTTGGAATCTACAATGAGATTAGATTCATCTAGTGGGACAGACATGCCATACGGTATGCCAGTGCTGGTGGGCACATTATCTAGGTGTTCAGGCACAGGATAAGGATTCATTTTGATATGAGGGTACTTGTCTTTATGCCGCTGGAAATGCACTTTCAGATTGCCTTTGGTGGTGAAACGATTGCCACAAATGTTGCACTTGTAGGGCCTCTCCCCAGTGTGGGATCGGAGGTGGATTTGCAGAGCACTATCGTTGCCAAAGACTTTGCCGCAAAACTTGCACTTGTGTTTGAAAAAGGACTCCTCTTGGTTTGGTTTACTTTCAGGGATGCTCATGTTTGCTACTTTCCCTTTCACCTTCTTTGAGGGGTCGCCGGCTGGGGAGACAGTGGGAAGGGGATTCTGGAAGATAGCCGAGCTGGAGGATTGAGGTAGCAAAGGGCTCAGGAAGCGAGACATGGAACCCGGCAAGCTTTGACCTGCCTCAGGCTTCAAGGACAGGGCAGGAGCAAGCCCACCGGCCACCGAGACGGCTGTCGGAATAGCGAGATTTGGATGAGGTAGTTTGCCTTGCTTCAAGGATTCGAGGGATAGGCTTTGATTCCCAGCTTTCTGTCCAATTAAAGCAACAGCAGCTGACAGCTGCTGGGACATATGAGCCCCCAAAGCTTTGAAGGGTTCTGCAGCAGCAACGGAAGGATGAAGGACATGGGGGGCCATCATGGCAATTTGGATGCGGATCTGCTCCGTCAGCTGGAGTTGTTGGAGTTGCTGCTGCTGTAGGCACACCAACTGCTCCAGGATCATTGGGATGGCACTGAGACCAGCCACGGAGGGAGGGAGAGACTCTGAGGTACACTGGTTGACAGCCACTTTAGTGCCATGTATAGTTTGCAAAGTCACGTTAGTGTTTGGTACTTTGGGTTTGGGGAAAAAGCTTAGCCCTTGAGTTGCGGAGGCAACGGAGGACTCTGTTTTTAGATATGTCATTCCTGAAGGTTCCAATCCAGCTTTCACTTCTCTCTTTTCTGCCGAAGCTGGGCAGCTCTTTACATGACTCTCCTCAGCCAGCCTACCATCCATTTGGCTGGTTGGAAAAGTCTTCACAGAGCTGTCAGGGAAGGCTTCTAAGGGCACCGCCCCTTCACTGTCATTCATGATGAGGACAGGTTGTGTTTTAGTGCAATTTTTCTTATGCTCGAGGAGTTCAGTGAAGTCAAAGAACTCAGCACAGCATTTCTCACAGACATGGGTTTCTTCAGTCCGACATCTTTTGGCATTCATTTCACCTCTGTCACCTGGGGTATCCTGTGGACTTCCTGGAAAGACATCAGAAAGAGAGAAAAGATCTGAGTGAAATGATACCATGGACCAGAAAAGGAAGAGGCCCTCATGGGATGAGTTTGCAGTAGGAGTCTCCAACCCTGGTAACTTTAAGACTTGTAGACTATAACTCCCAGAATTCCTCAGCCAGCCATAACTGGGTGAGGAATTCTGGGAGTTGAAGTCCACAAGTCTTAAAGTTGCCACGGTTGGAAACCCCTGGCTTGCAGGATTGAAATACATAGGAATGGGGACAGTTTTTGTGCAGTCTCTATATCTGCTACTGGTATAGTTTAAAGCAATTTGTGAATTATCCTAGGACAGGGGTCTCCAAATTTGGCCATTTTTAAGACTTGTGGACTCCAACTCTTCAGGGCTGGCTGAGGAATTCTGGGAGTTGAAGTCCACAAGTTTTAAAATTGCCAAGTTTGGAAACCCCTGTCCTAGGACAAAGACAAAAGCTGATGAATCAAAGTTGGGTTACAATTTTTGTGACCTTGCTTTCCAGGTCAAAATTTCTCCTGGCAAACCTCCTTGATAAGGACTAGGTTGTCTTAGTGGCATTGGCAGAATTGGCTGCCCACCATTTTGATTTCCCAGTGATTGGATCTACAGGTGGTTCTTGACTTGCAACCATTTGTTCAGTGAAGTTACAACAGCACTGAAAAAAGGGACTATGGCGGGTTTTTTTCACACTTACGACCGTGACTAAAAAAGTGACTATGACCAGTTTTCACACTTAAGAGCATTGCTGCATTCTCATAGTCACATGATCAAAATTTGGATACTCAGAAACTGGCATATATTTATGACAGTTGCCTTGTCCTAGAATCATGTGATTACCATTCTTCTTGGTTGATTTCTAACAAGTAGTCAATAGGGAAAACCAGATTCACATAACAAACACATTTCACTTAACAACTGTAGTGATCTGCTTAACAATTGTGGCAAAAAGGTCATAAAATGAGGAGCAACTCACTTAACAACTATCTCGCTTAGTAACCAAAATTTTAGGCTCAATTGTGGTTGTAAGCTGAGAACTAACTACGGTACTGCTTTTCAAGTAGCTACGTGCTCAGGAGAACAACTATGATGGTCTTTACCAATTTGAACATTTCCAGATTTATTGGGATTGTAGAAATTCCCATTAGCCTGGATAGGCTCCTCCAGCTAGGAATTCTGGAGCATGCCGTCCATTGCTTCTGTTAAGATCAGGTGGAGGAAGGGTGATTTTGAGCAACAGCAGCAACTGCTAAAATAGTATTAGTTTTAGGAAACCTAACTTGTGAGTCTGCAGAAATAATTTGGAAAATCCTTGCAAGTAGCCCTATAGATGTCATCACCATTTTCTAACCTTGAATGGATTTAAATCCAGATGTTAAGTGGAAAAAATCCCAAATCACTCAAGCTTCCCCAAATTCTTTTGTTGGTATCACTACCTGTCTACGGAACTTAGGAAGATAGTAAGAAATGGAGAGAATCTATTATGTCAGAGTTCCATGTAATGCACCCATAGAAAGCAGAACTCTGAGGCAGGCAAATTCCTCAAAGAACAATTTATTGGATAGTGGCACAACTCATGAAAGCCGACTCCAAAAATTCCCACGGCTTTCACCCAATTAAAAAGTTAAACTTTCCCCTTTCCCCCAAGTCACTGGTCCCACTGTCCAATCCAGGTGCTGGCCGGTTGCTTGGTTACTTCACTCCTCCTCTGGCCAGCCACCTGTGAGAATGTCCTTGGTTCCCACAGGAAAACGTGTTTGTTTTGGCTACAAAACCCCATCTAGCTATATCCCCCCACCTCCCTGTTCCTTCTTCTGCTTTGTGGCAACCCTGAAACCTCCAAGATGGCCTCAGCCAGGTTCACTTCAGGGTTGACACTATTATTTATTTAAATTATGTGGTATACAAATGAAACAATATTGTGGGAAGCGCTTCCAGAGGGAGAGAGGTAGGTGAATTTTTTACTTCTGTAAGAAGAGAGGGACATGTATCCACATCACAGATCCTGGAAACCATATTGCTTTGTCGTGTTATATATGCTAAGAAAGCATAATAAGACTCTGCAATAATTTCACCGAGTTAGTTTTTCTTTGAAGGCTCCCCCGTGTGGCAAAATTAATATTTTCATTATCAGGAGAAGGCTGAAAAATCTGTCCTCAAACTGATAGAAACAACGATCAATGTTTATCGCAGGGGGAAATGATCATAAGAAAAGATGGCTGTGTGAAACTGTAAATAGTCTAATATCCTGAGCTGGGTTGACACTGGAAGGGCTGAAAAAGCACTACACCGATGGTGCTCAATTTACAGCTGTTTGTTTAGTGATTGTTCAAAGTTAGTGAAAAAGTGACTTACAATCAGTCCTCCCACTTAGAACTGTTGCAGCATCCCCACAGTTAGGTGCTCAGGTGCTTGTCAACTGGCATGTTGTTCTGACCAAAACCCTTTTCCAATAAGACAAATAATAACTAAAGGGAACAGAAACCTTTTAATGAGTCTTACGAATCCTGAGTTAAAAGGCTGCTGCAAACTAATTAACTTTGATAAACACAAACCTTGCCAAAACTGTACCAGACTGCCAAGAATCACAGATAAGAAATATTTCACAACACAAGAGTCCAACTGAAGATACTGTAATGTCCACAAGGCTCGACTTTCAAAATGTCTTTGCTTCCTGCAAAGAACGTCCGATTCACAGCTGGCTTTTATCTTCTTGAAGGAGAGGCCATTACCTTGGAGCCTTACTCCTGAGTCGCCCATGCTGTTGCAGCTGCTCTTTCCTGCGAGCAATCCACACTTGGCACAGGCTCCTTGGGAACCACCTCATCACTGCTGCCAGCCCCCACAATCTCTGAAGGCAGCAGTCCACTCCCTAATGGTCCTGGCTCCTTATCTGAGTCCTTGCTTCTTCAGCCGTCTGCACCTGCTGCCGGCTAACCACAACACATGTATTTATTATGGTTCCAGCATCCCATAATAAATACATGCCGTTTGTGACCTCCCCATCTGGCTTCTGACAAACAAGGGGAATGTGGGAAGGTGGTCTGCTTAATGGCTGAATGATTCTTTTAAATGCAGTGATTTGCTTAACGACCGTGGCAAAAAAAAAAAGCTCATAAAATTGGGGGCAACTCACTCAACAACTGTCTTGCTGCACAATGGGAATTCTGGATATTCCCAATTGTCATCGTAATTTGAGGACTACCTATTGTATAATGAAGATGTGTCATTCTTGTGTTGTCTTCGCACAACACTGGAAAAATGAAGAAACACCATGAGATGAAGAAATATTTAAGAAGATACTAGATTGGCAGAAATTGATAGATTGACATTGAAAATGAAGCAGAAAATAAAAAAGATGTGTCATTCTTAGCAGAAATGCTGTGGCAATAAAATCTCTTCTTTACATCAAAATTCACAATCAATGAATTTATAAGGAATGACTGGATAGGCATCTTTCCCTGTTTTGTAAGCTATTAGAGGAATAAAATGCAGTATTTTTAGTGGGGGGAAAACTCGGGGGGGGGGCACCTTAAGATGTGGGGAAGGCAAATGAAACACAGTGTTTTACACCTTAAATGCAACACTTTGTGCAGCACTATTTTCTTCCTGATACCAGAACTGTAATGTCTAGTAGTAAATAATGCAAGACAATGCGCTATGCAATGCTAACCACAGCAGAACCTCCCCCAGAACCTTATCCAGGTCTTTCTCAGAAGATCTTATCTAGATACAGGTTCCTTTTCTCATTCTCAGGTGTGTGTGTGTGTGTGTGTGTGTGTGTGTGTGTGTGTGTGTGTGTGAAAGATGAAACTGAGAAACCAAAGTAAGCTGGTTGAGGTGTAGATTGTGTGAATTTGTTCTTTAATCTTGCAAAATGTGGAGCAGCACCATTACTTTGGTAAATGAGAACGTTGCCTTCAGCCTTGGAAGAATTGCTTATACTCTTGCTTGTACTCAAGCAAACTGAGATTCCACTGTCTCCAAAAGGATACAAATGACCAGCTGTCTGCAAGGAATATAAATCCTTCCCTTCCCCACCATCCAGTCAGAGCTGAAGAAGCTTCTTTGATGAGAAGTGAAATGTCTTCAAAGAAAAACCAGGAAGTCCAGTTGCCTTTTGAAAAAGCACCTTTGGGACAACCATGACCTGGATGACTGGGAATCTCCATGGCAACTTGTCAGGACTTCAACTCCCAGAATTCCCCAGCCAGTTATGCTTAACCAACATGCCAAGGTTGAAAAACGCTATGCCATAGCATGTATAACTCCATAACGTATGGTTTACTTTTTTTTACTTTTTTTTTTTGCATTCCTGATGGCAAAACAAGGGACAAAAAGTATTTTAAAACAAGCAATTCCTTTCCAAAACCCCAATACTTCTACCTAAATAGATTGAAATTTTAATGTCGCTATATAACCATGACTCGTGTAACCCTCAAAGAGAAAACATTTAAAAATATTTCCTTGCTTCTTCAGGTAAATGATCACCACGTTCTTTCTATGCTCCTACTTACTTTCCCACCTTTTAATCTTTTTTGAATCATCAGCGTTTTTGCTTTTATTTTGGCTGATGTTGGAATAGTTGGACCCGATCAGTTCTTGGAAAGGAGGCCACCAACAAATCCCAAGAAAGTACACAGAAAGAACAAAGAAATTTTTAAAAAATGTTCCAGAAGGTGACAATGTCAAATCACCTCTGAAATGCTGTCAAGAAAACTATATGGACATATCCATGCAGTGATCATGAAATAAATCCAATAAAAGAAGACTTTACTTTTAACTTAATGCAATGCAACTGAAAGTATAGCTTGTGGAAGTCCATCAGATGGTCTGCCATAGGTTCCTGATGTTACTGGGCCACAGCACTCAGTCCTGCTCCCCACCCCCACCCCAAATGCACTGACAGTCAGTTCAATCATGATAATGGATCAGCAACTGAACACTGGATCACTGAAAGCAGATTTGACTTTAAGACTAATTTGCCTCTAGT